TTCAGATAAGACATTTAGCCATCTTGACACCATTTGTCATAAGAATTCTTAATACCATTTGTCATAAGAATCACTGAAAAACCCTTTCAGTTATTCAGCTAAAAAGAAAGCAGGTTAAGATTGTTTTGTGTCAGACCCAATGTCTTTCCAAGTGAGGAATGATGAGAGGAAAAAGATCATTCAGGCCTTCAGTAATGGTACCAACATTCATACTCTGACTTCTATCTTCAAATCCCATTCAAGAACCATCAAGAAAACAGCGAATAAGTTTAAAAAAGAGGAAACAATAGAGAGGAAAACTGGATCAGGAGGTCACAACAGGAAGAGGGATCATCACTTCAACTTAGAGCTAAATAGATCAATTAGAAAGGATCCAACTCAATCTATAAGATGTTTGGCATGTAAGAGAGGAGTTTCAGATATGACAGTCCAAAGAGCAGTGAAAAAAAACTTGAAAATGAAATTGCACATTAAATTAGATGGCAGACAAAAAAAAGGAAGTCATTTTGGATTGGCTGAGGAGCCAACATGAGAATGATAGATAGGGAAAGGTTTCTTAACTGTTGAACAATGTAGATGTGTTTCCTTTTGTGTCTGAAACTGCCCACAGCGGAGTGAGAGAGTGACCCCACTGGATAGTTAGAAGATGTATACTCTAATGTTAATAAAATAGTTAAGTAAAGTTCCTTGTGTTGAAGTTTTATCTCTGCATTCAAAACAACAAGCAATCACTGGCCAAAAAGAGAAGACAAAAGAGAGAAAATACAACATATGAGTGAATCAACAACATCGACGAAGACCTTCCCAGCTGGAGGGAACAATACAACAAAAGTTAGAAGGTTAAAGAGGATAAAGATCATCTTCAATAAGTTTGAAAATGATCTTGGAATACATAATATATACCTCCACTTAATTGTGCAAAAAACAGTATAGCATGATTAAAAAAGGCACCAATCACAATAAAAACAAAATTTTGTCATCAAAATGTTTATGTTATTATTAAGAGGAAAGACCAAAGTATTTTTTTTTAATTATTTTTTGAAATTTTTTACTCCTTTGTAGCATGTTGTAAATTTTGGTTAAAATTTTTTTTTTTATGTCAGTGGTGGGCCAAAGATAAAGGTTAATTTTTTTTTTTCTGATGAAAAACACATTGATTTGGAAATTTTTGCAAAATTCAGATAATTGTCAGATTTTAATAAAACTTTCAGGACATATTCAGAAATGAATGAAATTATTTTTGAATTTTTTTTTTTTTTTTTTTTTTTTATAAATGTTACCACCCACTTAATTTCATGAAATTTTGAGAAATTAAATTTCTAGAGTGTGGATTTTTTTATTAATTAAAAACAGGACTCCTTGGAGAAAGTAAATCATCAATCTTTTTTTCTTTTTTGTAAAACAGTTAACTGTTTCAGTAAAAATCTGCTTTGAACTGTGAAATAAAAAATGCGATAAAACTATGACATTAGAAAAAAGGCTTTTAATTGCTTTTGTAAATAAGTTATATTAAGGATATTATTGTCTGAAGAAATAAAATTTTTTTGATGAATAATGAATTTTTTCAATTTTTAAAATTTTTATTATAATAATACAATAGTTCAAAAATCATTTAAAATTCTTCATTGTTTTCAAGACAGCAGTTTGGAGATATCGTTAAATAAAAAGTACATTTACAAATCAAAATTTGCAAAGTTCATAACAGTTGTTTGTACCCAAATACTTTTAAAAGAATTTTTAGTGAAAAAGAAAAAAAGTTCCTAAATTTTACCTATGGGAATCTGTACATGATATAATCCTTAAAAAGGTCACATAATTTAAGTATCATCTGACACACTGCAATTATTTCACTTTTAATATTCAGTTCTGTTTCATCATTAGCGTCTTTGCAAATCATCCCTTCAAAATATCAAAAAACTAAGTTTTACTTTCCTTAATTGCTATTTCACTAGATATTTTTATTTTATCTATTTATTTAGTTTGGGTCACACTTAATAAATTTTTTGTTTAAGGTAGTAAACTTAAGAACATAGAGACAAAATGCAAATTTCATAAAGCTTCTTGAAAGGTAAGTAAATATCAATAAAATATTATATAATTACTGAAAATATATTAATTTGTACAAATTACTAGGTAGTTAAAAAACTAAAAAAAAAAAAAATGTGTTCATATAGATTTCGTAAATTTATGTTATTTCTGGTCATCCATAAGCACTGTTATCACCTTGAAAGCTTCTGAATAAGTCAATAAAGATCAAAGAAAGAGGAGACCCATCATTAAGAAATGCTTGTATATTGGCTTTTTATACTATTAGTAAGTAATATCTATTTTAAATCAGATTAATTTAACTGTAAATTTTCTAATTTCACTGAAATAACGTGTCACAAATATATAATTTAATTTTGGAAGATTTTTGAAACTAATAAATTTGTTTTTTGTTTACAAATTTCTTAAAATTAAGAAAATGGCCACTTTTAAAAAAATTAAAAAAAAAAAAAAAAACAATTATTTGATATTCCAATCTATATAATCTGAAATACACCAGAATGTTTTACATACTGGAAATAATAAATTTAATCATTTAGCTTTCAATTAAAGCTAAAATGAAAGGTGTGGATTCTGGCCATTATTTACCATGTTCTCGTGATGTTGATTCAAAACAGGATGTACAAACTTGTCTATTTAAAATATAGAATTAACTATTAATAATTTATATTATTCAAATTCATAAATTCAAAAGTCGGAGAATTAAAAAGTAGTAAATAAAAAAAAAAAAAAATATAGAAAAAATTATTTAAATTTGAATTCGAAAGTAAACAATATATAAAAGGAAGTAACTCTCATTTTTTTAGCCTAAAATACCCAAGTTATGTCTATTGGCATAAACTGTAATGCAGATTAGAAATATAATATAATATAGGTGCAAAAATATAATAATAGAAATATAATATATAATATAGGTGCAAAAATAAATAAGTAAATTAATAATACGTTGGGACTATATATTTCCATCTATTCTCAGTGAATCCAAAGTAATATTGCACATTATCATCTGATTTGATACTAGCTCTGTATATAATGTCTTCAGCCATGCACTGGCCATAAATTTTAACAGGTAGGTTGTGTTTTTACAGCAGTTGCATTGATGTTTCAACACTACACAGCCATAAGCCATGGATTTATTATGAGAATCCAAAATGGTTAAATCCATGACAGTCTTTAACATCCGAATCTGGCAAAATTTTTGTTTATTAATAGGATTCTTTATTACAAAAGACTGGAACTCAAAAAAATGCTTCTGTGCAAATGAAGTGAACAAGTAGCTCATTTAAACAAGAACAGTAATCTTTTTTTAATACTAAATTTTACCTAATACAAGGCTCAAGAGCCACTCAAGGTAGAGGGTTATTGAATGAGATGCATAATATGAATGTAAGTGAAAATTATGAGGATAAGGAGAATAGATAGTAATTGATCCTTGACTTGAAGTTAAAATTATAGTGTTCATTCTACAAAGTAGCAGCCATCATGAAAAAGCTTAGAAATTCCTCTTTACAAATGGAATATATAGGAAATGTGGTTGATTCGATTCCATAAGTCCTAGCTGTAAAAATCTGAACTGATGGAAATAGTGATAGACTAGCAACATTGTATTAATGAGGAAGAGACTGTAGAATGGAAAATAAGTAATCTCCTACGAGACCCTGTAAATAATTCTGAACTCTATCAAGCCTGCAAACTGAAGATTTTTCAGTGCCAACCAGTGATTTTACAGTATGGCAATGCCTGTACTCATTACAAATGTAGTGCAGCAAATAATCATAGAGCTGGAACTGGAAATTCTTCTAGATGTTGCATAATTCTAAAAAAAAATAGCATATTTATTTCACTTCATATGACATTCTTTGTTTCATCAGCAGTTTCAAAAAGACTCAAGATATCAAAGAATTCATCAAATCAAATCTGAGTTTTTTCTGTTACCATTTCTGCTGCTGTGGACATATGTATCAGTCAGTTATGTGGGATACACGCTTAGGCGATCATATATTTTTCGATACATGACTGACGATGCAGATTTTTCTCCGCAGTAGTATGCAATTTCTTTCTGCAGTAGACCAGTTGCCATCCAAAGCTAAAGAGTCCAGTCCGTCTTGCTATTTACCCATAGCTTGAGAAGCGGATTCATACCTTTCCCAAAGGTATTAGCACATAATGTAATGTTTTCAACTGGAATTTAATTCCAGCTCTCTGATTCCTCAACCTGAGACACAACCCATTACTCCACTGCGCCTTCAGATCTTTAAAAAAAAACTTACATTGCCAGCTGTATATATATATATATATATATATATATATATATATATATACACACACACATACATATACACACACACACACTTTTCAAGACACCATGAAATGTTAGTCACTAGTATTTATTTTATAAATTAACAAGTTCTTAGAATTATTATTATTCCAAAACCAATGAAGACATATACAAAGAATATGCCTTGTTTTGTGACATATTTTTATTATATTTTGTGTTGGGGTATCGTTTAGCTTAGTCTGTACTGCAGAGTATCTGATCAAAACCCAAATGGAGATGCCTATGAGAAATTGTCATCACCATCTTAATAGTTGCAATTTCCTATTTTTCCCTAAAAATGGGCTAGCACAGCCAGGCAACAATGCTATAATTAGGCAGCAGTGAAAGTATTAATGTTAAAATACTCAGTTTACCTGAAAGAGGTCAACAGGTCAAAGCTAACTAGTTAAGATACTTTGATAACTGAACAATAATGCTACGAATTTATATGAACAAAAGATTTTGTGGAAAATGATAAATGTTTTTGCATCAACCTACTATATACAGTTTCTCTATTTTAATTAAATGCATTGAAAATGATGAAGATGATTCTTCACTTAAACATAACTGTGCATTTTCCAACATTTATTTTTTGTTTACTTAATCCTTGTTTATGAATCAAAAATAAAAAGCTTACCTTTATTGAAAATTTCAATATATTCTTCTGTATCCTTGTTGTTTAAAAATGCAGAAATATTTTTAATGCCAAAATCTATTACATAGCCATGGTCTTCAATGCTGTTTACACTCCCAATGAGGATCTGCAGAAATTATAAGCAAACAACATTATGTAGAATTTTTATTGCCAATTTTATAAACCTCATAGTATTTAATCATGCATACAGAAACATGAACAAGAAAATAAAAAGGTAGCCAACATACAAGTATTTTTTGATGTTTTATTTTTCACCTTATCAGATAATCTGGCTTTTATCTTGACTACACAATTTTAATTCACATTAATTACATTTGAACATGATTTTTATATTTGCCAAGATTAAAAAATGTCTGTTTTCCAAAGCAATCAGTGGCACCATTATTATGAACTAAGGTATACTGCATATAAGAATTTTGTTGAATTTATATTAAACAAAAAGTAAGAAAACTATCCAACCAACTCACTGTAGAGAAAGTTTAACAACAAAAAGAAGTATACAATAAGCAACAATATCTAATTTCTATATAACAGAAATTATAAGAAATAAAGTGTGATATCTATTAATGCATATTTTATATATATATATATAGCATTAATTATAAAAATAAAAATATGCTATTAATTATAGATATCTTTTTAAAAAATTTTGGTATTATACAACCTGCCTGAAATTATTAAGCAAATCATATAAACTTTAATAATTCAAATTCGGTTTGAAAAAAAAATTGTTAAATTTTAAACAATCAATTTAGATGTTGAAACAAAGCTTGTTAAAAATCAACATGTTTTATTGAAGCTATTTGATGTATTCTAAAAAACTGCCGTCTGAAGCTATTAGGCAAAACCAAATAATCACATTTTACTTCAATAAAAAGCTAATAAAATCATCAAAAATTGATCGACACCTATGACAGAACAAATAACAAACACATATGATAAGTCTTTGAAGCATTTACATTTTAATATAGCGACCCTTCTTCTCAATAACAGCCACTAATCTATTTTGATTTTGTAATTTTTTTTTTTTTTTACTTCAGCAGGTTCAATTTCTGACATGGTAATTTTAATTGCTTCCCATAGGTCTGCTTTGCTGTTATATTGTTTGTCATTTTCATACAATTTCATCTTCACAATTGAACATAGATTTTCAATGAGATTCAGATCAGAACTTGGTGGTGACCATTCCATTATCTTCTCTCCTGTAAATCTTTTATGCTCAAAGAATTCACAGGTAAGCTTAAATACATGAGAAGGAGCATTGTCATGCATAAATACACACTTCACTTTGAAACTGCAAGACTGGGACTCATACCATGCAAATGAAGTCTTGTTCATAAAATTGCAATACTTAGCACTTTTCAGTTTAACTCCTTCATTGACTGAATGGTCCAATAATGGTTTAGTCAACAATTCAAGACCATATCATAACACTACCATCTCCTTGTTACCTTCTTTTAACCACAGGCACATCTGAATTGGATAAAATCCATCCTTTGGCCCATCCATCAGGTCCATCAAATGTCACTCAAGATTTGTCTGTAAAAATTACTTGAAAGTCAATTTCCATGTATTTTGACACTTTAAAATATTTGCTTTTGTAAGAGGAGGTTGCCTAGATTTTTTTACAGATCCCAATTCACAAAGTATTCTATACATTTTATCCTTCTTGACTCCCTCAATTCTAGTCTTTTCAAAGATCTGAGTGCTGATCAAAATTGGTTGTTTTGCTATAAGACGCTTTAGTTATCTCAAGGAAACAAGTTCTTTTCCTATATAGCAAATAAATGGTTAACTCATAGAACAGTGGTTCTTAAACTTTTTTTCTCTGAGCTGCATTTTTTAAATGAAAATTTGCTCATGCCTCACCAAATTTTGTGATAATTACATTTAAAAATAAATTTAAAAAAAAAAAGAGATTGTTAACGGGAGATAACCTCAAATTCAAAGTCAGCTAACTCTCTCCTCCAATTTGCAGACCTTAGTTACTATATTCTTAATACTTGATATAATGTAAAAATATCACAATGATAAAATGAGTCAATTATTTATACTGGGACTCATACATGCAATTATAAGTAATCCATAACAATATTTTAAATTTTGAAAAATTTATTTTTGAAACTGTTTCTAAATCTTTCATTGTCATTCAATCATTCTGCCTCACCTGCTATCCTCTTCTCCCATACCACACCATTTGGGAACCACTGTCAGAATTTTTTTTTTGTTTTTAAATTGATGATATTTCAAATATTTTTTTTGTTGTAACTTACAATAGACTGACAGAAATTACATCTTACTCAAGAGTGACTTACACAAAGTAAAAACAGTAAATCTTTAGAGATCATCAGTCTCATCACCAGGTGTGATTGTAGAGGTACTGTACAGCTAAGCACCCAACAAGTTCCCACCACATATCTGGATTGAGAGCTGGACATATTTATTCATGCATAGTGCATCTAGAAAAAAGAGACCTGGTAGAACCCATACCTCTCAAAGTCAAACTACAGTGGATGCCCTCCAACTTGAAGGCTCATCTTGTCATTGTGGCCATTGATTTTATTGGAGAAACTTACTGCCCTGATCACTGACATTAAGCTTAGAGAGCTTACTGCCAAGTGATACCATGACATCACCACACTGACTGCATACACATCTTTGGAGCACAGTTTATCCCATTGTGCCAGATAAGCATTGACTCTACAAGAAGGTCAATCTGCCCACTGACAGGTTGTTTTTTGGTTTTTTTTTTAATCCTGCTGGGTGTCTAGCAGTCCTCCTCACCAGAAAAGTCTGGTTGGGGAACTGATAACCTGAACAGGTGGCTAGGTTACATGATACCAGTAGCACTTGTAGAGTGACTCAACAAACATATAGTTTGTATAGTAAGGAACTATGAAGACACCAGATATTAAACAAAGAATGATTCCAGATTCTATCCATATTTTTTCAGTAATGGCAAAATATGATAAAATTCATTTTGACCATTTGATCTAATGAAGACTGGAACTCTTAGCTGATAATTCACCTTGAACAGTTTGCCTAATAGTAAAAACAAATTAAGCTTTTAGCTTTATTCATTTGGTGCAAACATTCATACTATTTGGGGGAATATATGGATGTTTCACAGCTCTAGGTCATTCTTCTTGGTAGGGCTGAAAACTTTTCAGCATTCCCTTATAACTGACATATCAGCATGCATTTTTTAAAAAAATCTTTTGACAAAATTAATGTATCTTTGTTAATTCTAATATTGAGGATGGAAAAATATGTGCAATATTTTGGGGATAATTTTAAGAAAGGTAAAATTATTGCTCAAATGTAACAAAAGATTTGTTGCTGTTTATGATGAAAGTACTGTGAATAATCAAAAGTACTGCACACAAAATGCCCAAATCAGTGTTACAGCGTGTAAGCTACAAATGCAACAAAAAAAAACAATTTTTGAAAATCTGTGCTAGGTAGATGATGAAAAATGCATAGTTTACAACAATGTGGAATGCAAGAGTGAAACCGCACTACAACAATTTTGCAACTTTTTTTTTTGCCTTAAAAAAAAAAAAAAAAGAGAGAGAGAACTGATGCCAGTTCCTTATTAATTTATAAAGAAAAACAATTTACCATATTTAACTTTATTTGGGAACTGAAGACATTCTGGTTAATATCTTTTGGATTAAGAGATAATTTCACATGATTGGAACTGGGATTCATCACTTTACAGATGATAAAAGATCCAACTGGAAACAAGCTTTGCAAATTGTTTTCCTGTAAAACAAAAGTAAATTTTACTTGTTCCACTTCATAAACAAACAATGAATAAAAATTATATAAATATGAATCTTTTAGAATGTAAAAAGCAAAACTATTATTTTAACCTTTTAGTGTCCATTTTATATTAAGAGTGTTCTTTCACATAACTAGATACAGTATATTATTTAATAAAGAATACCTTTTAATATCAAAGAAATATAATTTTTATTTATTAGTAAAAATATAAAATACATATAAACAAATTTCAACACATGTAAACTCTAAATGGCAAAACTGATTTCATATAAAAAACATTAAAATGATGGTAAAAATAAAAAGAGCAATTAAAGTGAAACCATTTAAAAAATAACTGCATACATCCTCAAAATCCTAACATTTAAAAAAAAAAAAACTGTTTTAAACATATACCGATATACTTGTTTTCTTATGACAAAAGAACACTTGTGAAAAATATAGAGAAATTCAAAATAATATTAAAATTATTTTATGAACAAAATTTAAAAGTTAGGTAAAAATTAAATTCTGCTTATGTTGTTATGCTAATCAAACTGAGCTCTTTTTACCTCAATAATTACATAAGAACTTACCATATTTTGTTCTTCATTATTCTGTGAATCCACTAAATTCTCAAGTTTGGCTGTGTATGCATCTGATATATGGACTGGATCCACAGATCCTGTAAAACCATTTGGAAGGACAACTTTCAATTTTAGATGATTAACACTTGTAACATATCCATAAGTCAGCAGATCTTGTGTTAAAGACTGAAACAAAAAAAGAGATAAACATTAAAATGAGTCAAAATATATAAATTTATATGCCAATATTAATTATACTTTTAAGTATATTTAATAGAAAATACTAGTTTTTCAGTATGAAGCTTAGAAAAATTTCCACTAAAACTAATTAAAAAGAAATCTCAAGATGTATTTTCTGTAAAATTTATGCAAACATCTGAAGGAGTAATTGCATATTATACATGAAACAATTTGGGATTTTAATACATAGTCATTAAAGGCTCACATTTTCACAAGACTTGATTTCTAATAGCCTAACAAAGTTTTGATGTAAAATATATTTAAAAAATTGGTTTTGTTAAGAAATTAATAATTTAGAACTCTTAAGTATATTTGAACAAGAAATATTTATAGCAAATTATATTAGAATGTTCAATACAAAACTTCCAATTTTGTTTTAAACTTGATATTTTTGGGAAAATAACATTTTTCATTGATATTTTAAGAAATACATTCATTTACTGAGGAAAATTTTTAATTTAATTCCATTCATTTTTACAACATTTTTTAAAGCAAATACATAAAGCTTTCAAACTAATGTTTTTTGTTTGTATTATTCCAAGCTTGACTATAACAAATGAAGCTGGATGAAATTGTGCATTTGGGACAATGCTGTTACATTTGAATCAACTGAAATTTAAAGAATTTGCAAATTTTGCAGAACCAGGAGGGAGGTCAACCAAAAATTTCAACAACTGTCATTCTTTGACTTTATTCAAACTGTTGTTTTCATCTGTTATATTATTATAAATAATGTTTCTATAAAATCTATGTGAATAATAGTTCACATAAATTGAATAAAGTCAAAATAAATAGACAATTGCTCATTTAAAAAAAAATGATTAGCATCCTTTAGAACTTAAACTGAATGTTGTAGAATTAGATTTCTACATTCCCTGTTTTAAACCTGTTAAAAGAGGATCACAGCTAAGTATTCTCAGTTTGTGCTGAACCCATTAAAATTGGCTCAAGAGTTTCAATATGAAACAATGCTTTTTGAATGGTCCATAAATAATGTCATGTTTCTGCCTATGTCTGCATGGTTGACCTGTTCAGAGTTCAATGTGCCAAAGATAGTTAAACATTCTCTAGAGCCTACAACGTGATCAAGAAAATTCATAAATATGAAACTTCAACACAACTTAGTCAGTGTGTCCTTAAAATAATCAACTCATCACATGAATCCATGAAATCCAACTTCTTCACTTAAAGTTAATTTTTATTAACATCAACATGGCTTGTGGAATTCAATTTCTTTTCAACATCAACTCATCTAGTAACGAATTCAAACAAGATGAGATTCAGAAACCAACTCAGTCAATATCTTAACAACATAAAGGAAATCATAACTATATCAGTCGAAGCGAAACAACTCTAAAGTAAGTCAAGCAATCTATTTCATTCAATTACACCATCAACATAAACTGTTTAATTCCTTACTAGATCTGTAGCATAACACCTTTTATATTACCCTTGATCATACAACCAAGAACTCTAAAGTGTTTTAAACAACTTTATTATATTGTGTGTACTTGTTGTGATATAAAAATAATATTTGTTAAAACAAATATCTGCCTATTTGATTATTTCTCTTGTTGTTGTTGTCTTTGTTGCATTTGATTTAGTAAAAAATAATAGAGGGTCAGTTTAATTTGTATTTTGTCACCAATACAGATTGGCTAACCCACAACAAGGTTTCCATGAATCTAATGTCTCTTTTCAATGAAAAAAATTCCCTACAAATGACCACATGCAGAGAAGGAAATTAATTTTTTTAATCATTGTATCCCAAGCAAGACAATAAAGCTACTAAGACCTAAGGGGGTTACTGAGCATGAGAGAATATAAAAAAAAAACACTATTAAAGAGAGAGAACAATAAAAGGACAGGAATTAAAACAGAAGATAACAATTAACATTGCATTTATTTAAAGTTCTGAAAATCAAAGTTAACTGGAAAGCAAGAGACCACAAGAAAGAAATGCAAGAGAAGAAACTGTTAGCATAGAACTTACAGTGACATAAAGCCATTTCAATAGTAAAATGATGAGAACTAGCTGCCACTCTAGTACTGCGCTTAAATTCATAACGTTGAGGAACCAAAGAGGAAAGAAGAATTTCCATGAAAATATTTTTAGAAAAAGTACATGGAAAAACTACATTATGGCAATGGAAAACCCAGTGAAGCCATGATGCCAAGTCAGGACCGCCAACATTGCAGATTCTTCTTTATCTTTTTTGCACTTTGTCAAACTAATTTAAATTCTTCCATTGCTATCAATGAATTCTCTATTCCAGTCTAACTTCCTCTTTGCTGAAATGATTCTAAGATATGTATGGCTTTGTTGGTGTTTATATCCGGGAAAATCTGCGAAGATACTGAGTGAAAACTGATAACATCAGGAAGATAGTTGATGAAAATCAGGAACAATGTAGGTCCAAGGATAGAACCCTGGGAGACGCACAGTGGAATTATTGTTGTCTGAATTTATAGAATGAGGGCTACTATCCTCATCTTTGTTGATAAATTATTATTAACGTCGTGTCCTCCGGCCTTCATCAGGTGTTTGTCGATCAGAGTCGAGTAGTAACCTTCAGGTAATTTCGAACTGAACCCTAATCTACGTGTATAGATTGTTCTCGTTCCGTTATATTTCGTCTTGTGTGTGTGTGTGTGTTTTTTTTTTTACAGTATTGTTCCGTTACTCTCCGTTTATACTACGTTTTAAGTTTGTATTACCAGGTTCAGTAGATCTTTTGTATTGCTCAATTTTAGTTTCAATTTAGTTTAAAATAAATTCGCAATTTCATGTAGAACAAAAAAAAGTAAAACATTTTGTGAGGTCTTATATACACGAAAAACATTACAAGTGAAAGTGAGTAACTTTTTAACAAAATAACCAAAATGAAATTTTAATATCTGAAATCGTTTTAAATCAACAGGAAGCAACGATCTATTTTAAAAGCGTGAACTTGTCATAAGGCGGCTATTGCTAAAAAAATTATTTTGAAATTACCTTTATTTTTTAAAAATTGAAAGTATGCACGTGGTAGAGATTAAGATAGTATTTAATGCGGGAAACAATAACAGAATATTCAAATTTCACTTAATGCCCTATCTTAATATTTGAAAAATGTGTTTTCTTTCCTGCTAAAACTAATAAAACTTAAAACCAACCCCAGACGTGGAGGCAAATTTAAATTAAATTTATGATGTTTCTTTTAACCTCACTTTATTTGAAAGGAAATAATAAAGAGTGTATCCTAATTAAAAATAGACTAATATGTTATCATTATTTTAATCTTTCTTAAATCTCTCACTCCTAATCACTACAATTTCTCTCAATGCACATGCTAAAAAAAAAAAAAATACTACACTACGTAACGTGTGTAATTTTAGAAAGAATCATAACAATTTAATTAGAACAATAATAAATAAAACAAAAAATCAATTACATATTTTCTTAATGTAAACTGTCTCATTTGATCAATTATTACTCTCGTAAATGATTAACAAATATTTTTTTTTAATACTTACTGTCTTTGAAAGCATCGTGCCTTTAAAATACACAACACGTGGTTCAACCAGCAAACATCAGTTGACAATTATTTCAAACGTTTGTTTCGTATCATCTTTGTGCAAACAATCTCTTAAGATTATAACCTCAATTATCTATTTACGTTTGGCTTAAGATTTATTTAATGAAAAAAATTTAAAATTAAGTTTAAATTTTAACGATGCATAAAAGTGCTAATGTCCTATTCTTCACTTTCGTATCTCAGTTCGACTCCACACGCAGTACTGATTTGCCCTTGACCAGTGTGTGACGATTCAAGTGAGTTTATTAATTTGTCTTTTTTTAAATATACGATTCAGTTTTTTCTATACACAGTCAGTTTATGATATCAATAATTTTAATGAGTCCCTAAATCATTTAGAATATATGCTAGTATTATTTTTCAAAGTAACACTAAAATTCTCCTTGTTCCTAGAGGGCAAGATGAAGATTGAAGATAGAGGTCTACTCTCTAATTTGTTACTGCTTGACTTGAGCATTGGCTTTTCGTGCAATATTCTGGATTATTTTAATTCTTCGAAAATTCACCTAAAATATCATTGTGTTTATTTGTCTTCTAAATACACTGATTAACATATTTAACAAATAACTCTTTCGTCCATTTTTTTTTGGTCATCAACCAAGCAATTTGAAATTAATAACAAAAAATATAAAAGTAATGATAATATTTTTAGAAAATACTGAAATGAACATTTGACAAAAAAATCTATAAGTGACTTACGACGAATTGTCTTTACTTTAATAAACTCAAAAAAATATGTATCAGAAATAAAAAAAAAAAAGGTCAATATCTCTGCAATGTTGAAAAAAAGTCAAAGAAAATGTCACTTTGAAACTTACTAAGTTTTAAAAAATTCTTTTAGTGTTTTTTTGTTTTGTCTTTACTTAGGTGTACAATCGTTGTTTGAACGACAGGGATTATAATTTCAACTGTTATTTTTTTTTTATTTAAGAAATAAAAACAAAATTATGATATCCACATGGATTATTTAAAAAGAAAAGAACATTCTCCAAATCCCCTCCCAAATTTTATTTTTTTAATATTTAGTAAGAAAAAAATAAAATCTAATTTCTGCGTATAAAACGAATAGGTACCTCAACAAAAATTCGTTAAAAAATTAGCATACATGATGAAAATTGTCCCCAAAACAAAGATAAATTTATTATAAGACTAGGAAAATCCAAAGGATATTTATAGTTTTTGAACCTTCAAAATTATTAAATTTTTAAGATTACTGGATAGTTAAAAAGAAAAAGTCGACTATAGAAAAAAAATAGTTAAATGATCCCAAACATCGATCTGTCAACACAATACATCATAAAAACACCCACCTGTATGTTGATCAAGGGACTAATTTTAAAAAGCAATTAATTAATCAAGGTTAATTCTACTTAAGATTTACACAAAATTTAAATTTTTTACTTTCTTTTTTTAACCACTTTTAGGTACCTCCAAAGATCCACTAAAAACATGAGCATACATGATGAAAAAAATAGCCTAAACTTAATATTAATAAAAAAAAAAAATTTTTATTGCACAAATTTAGCAAGATGAAAGACCAAATGATTTTTTTTCATTAAGTTATATTTTTAATTCTTTTGAAAATGTTCAAAATTTTTGTTAACAATTTTGTTTTTCTGGCATCAACATGGGATCATAAATTTGTATGGGAAATTATTCTTTTAAATCTGAATAGCTTTAGGTTATTATCTTTGAAATAAAACCAAAATGAAACTTCATGGACATTTAAATTGCTTAAAATGTTTATTTTTTTTTTTTTTATTGTGAAACCTACCATATGCACATATCAGAAATTTCCTAATATGATTTCTTTACTCTAATATCATTAATTTCATAAAAAAAATAACATTTCTTAAAGTTTTGTTTCATTTTCACTTGTTCCCTCACCATCTCTCATACATGACCACATACATAAAACATGACTAAGTACAATCTTTCTTGAATTTTGTAATGTTTTCATCTTTTTAAACCATTGACAATTTTCATCAAGGAAGATCATACATGTAAACTACTTTTACTTTTGAAACTGGAAACATGATTATTTCTTTAAATATGTTTTTTTCAAGTGAAAATAGCTATGAAAAATTACTGGAAATCTTTTTAATAGTGCAGCCCACTTTGTGATGAGTCCGAGATCATGCAGCCCACTACTTGAAGGTTGCCCATGCCTGCTTGATGCACACATACATTTCCTATTTCTTCTCATTGCAATCTTCAGGAATTAAACACACATAAAAATGTTCACTAGAATCCAGACATACACTTACACAAAATATAAACATGAGATCTACCTGACTGGTGGAGTTAGCTTTTGAGACAGAGCCTGATTGAGGGTATGACTGCTCATCAAGATTGGAGCAAATTTAGGGTCTGCTCAGTTGTGATGAATATTGTTATTCCTGCTTTCTAACAAGACCAAATCATACTTATTATAAAACCCAGGTTGTGTGTGTGTCTGTTCGTTTATATATTGGATCGGATTTCCTACATTTTTCAACCGATTTCAACAAAACTTCACAGGACTACGTAAAATTACCTTGCGGTGATTCTGACAGCGCCAAAAACTGGAAAAACAATTGTTTTTGCACAAAATCAATTTGAAATCACGATTAAGAGGCATCACTGTCGGCAAAATGAAAGGGGGACAACTCATATCGAGTTATACTTATAAAACCCAGGTTGTTTGTGTGCATTCGTTTATCTATGGGATCGGATTTCCTACATTTTTCAACCGATTTCAAAAAAAATTTCAATTTTTTTTTTTTTTTTTTTTTTTTTGGCAGGTAGTGTTTCTTATTGTCTTGCACACTTTTTTCTTTATTTTTATATTCAGAATGCTTTAAAAATTCCATTTATAAGACAATTGTTTATAATAAAATTCTATTCAATCGGTAGACTCATAACGATTGAAAACAATGATTTTGTTTGGGTTTGACCAATTCGTAAAAAAACAAAACAAAATAAAAACTAATTAAGGCATGCGTGTCTGTCAACCTTAAACAATAATCTTTGTCAATTTTATTTTTCAGTCTTTATGATGGTCAATACTTGATCTATCTCTTACTGTTACATCCCCGGGCAACGCCGGGCTCTACTGCTAGTTAATGAATATATATATGAAAATGGGCACTTTTTCTATAAGATAAATGGTAGAGCAAGGAATGAATACTAGATTGTATTCTCATGAATATGATCGGTTTTATCTTGAGTTTTAAAACTGTTAAGCTTATTAGACAATCATTTTGCAAAATTAGGTTTAGTTAATAATACATACTTGTGAACATAGATCAAAAAATTAGAATGTATTTGTTTATCATTTGAACAAAACTGTGTTTTCATGTGAGAAGGCAGAGATACCCTTTTCTCTTTATTAGAATAAAGTTTTCTGATGAATTATAATTGTTTTTTTGTTTGTTTTTTTTTTTTTTTCCCTAGATTCTAAGCATGGCTGGAGGATTTATGAGTGATGCTGAAGCTGGCTTTACTGGATGGAAATACTACTTTAACTCTTATACAAGGAGAGGACGATTCAATGTGAGTAATAAGAGGAAATCTCTTTCATTACAAAATTTGTCTGTGGTTTTACTTTTTTTTTTTTTTTTTTTTGAACATGAATAAATTAAAAAAAATTTCTACTCTTGAAATTATTTTTTTTTTCTTCATTAGTTAATTAAGAGATTATTATTGACACTATTTGTATTCGGATCTTTATCACAACATTTCAGTCATTGTGCCTGCTGGCCTTCATTGGGTGTATATTAATCTGGGTAAATACATGGAATTCTGAATTGAATCCTTTATTTAATCTATGGGGGTAGACTGTTCTTGTTCCAATGTCTAGCTCTTATATTTTAGTACTGTTTAGTTATTGCTCATCCATTTCCAAGTACACTCTGCCCAATGAATGGACTCAGAATTACTATGTCACCAAATTCACAAACCAATGCTTTAATCCACTGGTCTATTGTCCCTTAGGACAATTTGCTGTAGTGAACTTGAAGTCTTAAACCTAATCTGCCTGCTGATTAGTGCTGTTTCTTGTTGTGTTTTGACTGCTGCTGTTAAAAACATTTCTTTTTTTTTCTTTTTTTTTTTTTTTTTTTTTTTTTATTAGCGGCTAATTGTCTAACTCTCCAGTGTTCTTCTTTGTCCAGTATTTTCACTTCATTCCTCTGGGGCTGATGACTACCTACCACCACAGACCAGTCATGCCCGATTTCACTGTCTCACCCCTCATTATGGCTTTTCGATGTTCCTCCAGCCTTACTATGAAGTGGTGGCTTGTTTCACCTTCATATTCTCTGCCACAACTGCAAAGGATCAAATACATGCAATACTTGGTCATGTGTTTGGTTTAATTAGGCAGATTTCTCTGTAGAATGGAACTGCTTCTGAATATTGTTCTGATGTTGTATGGATGACTGATTTTCTGAATCTTTTCCAATAAGCCCTTGACATAAGGTAGACAGATTGACAATTTTTTGTTCTTCCTCCTTGATCCCTTCTGTTGTGTTTGCCAGGTAGTTGTTCTTCTGAAGAGTATGCTTGATTCTAATCATTTCTTGTTAGTATGTGAGAGCAGACCTCGATCCCTTTTTCACACTGTATAGATGGTTGAAACAACAAAGATAAGGACAATAGTCTGAATATAGTGCAAATAGCTCCTCATTCCAGAAATTAAGACAAACAGATTATTATATTTTGTTCAACCATTTGTTATAGTAATTGTTTTGTGTTTTCTTCAATGCATCAAATTGGAATTGGCAAGCCAGGTTCAAATTCTGGCCAAATAGACTTTTTCTCTAAGCTTTCCAAGGGCATTAGAACAAAAGTCTGTCTCTCTTCAGTTATGGGTTAATTCCAGGGCTCAAAAGCCACTCAAGGTAGGTTACTGAGTGAGGTGTATGATGTGAATGTAAGAAGAGGAAGAGAAGGTTATGAAAATATAGAGGATAGATAATGATTGACTCTTGATTTGAAGAGGTTATGGTTGTGGTGTTGGAAGTATCCATGCAGGAGCTTGTTCCACTAAGCAATGGTTGGGTAGAGGGCTCCTTACAATTGTAATAAGGAGGGAATGTGGGTAAGACAACCCTAAATACCAACCGTGGGATTGTTTACTCATGGTTTGAAACAATATACAAATGGGTAAACATTGCATTATATATGTGGATTTAGTGATGTATCACAATTGAAAACCTCCACAAAAAATGTAGAGTAATATTTTGGATAACATAATCCTCTGGTATATGAAATTGTAAAAGTTAAAGAAAAAGAACAAAAAACATTGGGATGAGATGGGTGGGGAAATGGCATGCTTACACTTGTTTTAAAAAAAAACAAAAAAAAACACTTATATATATATTCCTTCAGCATGTAAGTAATAATGCCCCCCCCTCCTTTTTTTTCCCTTGAGATATGGCAATTCACAAATCTAAAGGAAGATAATTGATTTTATTCCTATTTAAGTTTCTGTTTTATCCTTACAGGGATTGTTTTAGAACTAGTATTTTTAATATTTTTTTTTTTTTACTTATTATAAATTGACTTCTCCGCCAAAATATTTACACTTACAATATTAACTTCCAAACTGATTATGTTTGTTTTGTTTTTTTCAGTGCGTGGCAACGATCTATGGTAGTATCCTGGCCATTGTATTATACAAAAAACTAACAAAGAAGTCACCTGCTCCAGCAGCAATTAAAGCCAAGTGATGATAACATAATGGATTATATGCATATAGATGGAGATTAGTCTATTTTTACAGATGAGACTATTCTCTTTCTCTCAAATGAAGTAGTGACTTTTTGGTAAACAAAATAAAATCAGATTTGACCATGTTTGGAGTTTTTTGTTTTGTTTTTTTCGTTTTTTTGTTTTTTTTAATCTTAAGATCATGATTTTATTGCTGAAATGTTTTAAAATTAGAATGTAAAACAGTCTTGATTACCAAATGAATTGGTGTGTAGAAAATAAAATAGAAATGTGGATTTTATAAGTTTCAGCTTTAAATTATATATTTAGTCTCTTGATCTGAATTTTTTTTTTCTTTTCAGATCTTGGTAGAGTCAGTTGAACTACTCTTAAAATTTTTCCTAATTTATTAACTTTAAATGTTTGACATTTGAATATTAATTCTGTAATCTGTGAAGTGACAGTTGCTTATTTAAAACTTGGTGGCAAATAGTTTGACTTTGGGTTCAACAAGATTTCATTTCAACAATTACTTTTCCAAAACACAGATTCCTGACTGCATTCAGATTGAAATTTGAGTCACTGTTTGTGAATAGGAATTTTTGATAAAAGATATCCTGAAAAAATTCTTATTTGTGAAGTAATAACAGCATTTGACTAAAAAGAATTATTTCATAGCACTGTGTGGACACCTAGAATCTTCAAGTCATTAAGCTTTCAACTAGGATGTCATCATTTTTCTTTATTTATTAAAGAAAAATAAATTGAGATAATGCTTTTTTTTTTTTTTTTAAAGTTGAACCAAAGTTTCTGGAGAGGCAAGCAGAAATGTTTGATATTGTCTTTTGAAAACTATGCTACAGACATTTTTAACAGCAGAACAGATTAATCTCCAAATGTAACATTTTCATTTCTGTATAACTTTTGGATGATATTTTTCATTTCTTTTTAAAGATTTGTTATTTCTGACATTGAAGTATTGGTTGAACTGAAAATAAGATCTGGTCTTCTAGCTGCAGATGTTAGTTTTGATCTGTGTACGTTTAATTTTATATTACGTTATATGAACTTTTATCAAAATGCAAGAACAAGATAAATTATCAATTTGTTTTGAAATAAACCAGTTTACTCACCTACACCATTCTTTTCGTTTTATCTTGCAAAGTCTTACTTGATAATGAAGCTGTTCAGCTCTCTGAATTTTTTTTTTTTTTTTTTTTTAGTCGAAGTTTTACAAAACTGAGTTTTCAAAGGCACTAATATTGCTAAATTTATTTAAATAAAAAGAAATGTTTTCTATTTCTCAAAACTTAGTTTACATGGGTTTTGTAAATTATTACCAAGTTTAAAATATCTTTTACTAAATTTTATATTATCTCAATTTGGATTCCTCTGTAAATCTTGGATCTGAATTGATCTTCAGTCTTGAAACCCCCCCCCCCCAACAAGCATTGTTATTTTGAATTCCAAACACAATTAAAACAGAATTCATACAGGCCCTGGGCACCTTGAAGAGTCTTGGAGTTTAACTCAAAGAAAATGTCTTTAAAATTAACATTCTTATTTTTCTTTTCAAAGTTTGCAGGCTAATAATGACATGTATCTCTAGCTTTTGTTGTAGAAAAAATGAAATTATTAAAACTTATTTGACATTTATAATATTGCTTAGCTTTATATTAAGTTAAATCTGACAACCCTGTCCCTTTACTTTTGTATTCCTGTCATAGATGACTAGAAAATGTACAAATATGTGAATGACGTTTTGTTTCCAGTGAAACTGCAGATTGTGTCTGCTTTAAGAGACATTGAACTGTTTCTGATAAAATAGTGATAATCATTGCTTCCTTTCCTTGCAAATCTTTTTATCATGAAGATTTTGTAAAGGAAGAGCACACGCAAAAAATTACATTTTCCAAACTGAATTTGCAAGAATTTTGTCTAACCCAAAGATCAAGTGTGGATTTCTGGCAGATAGGGTTATGCAAAATGTATCCAAAAATGAAAATGTATCAAAAGATCTGTTTGCATGCAGAATTGCAACAAAGACAATGTTCATCATGATTGAGAAACTTCTGGCAACATCTCCCCTTAGATACCTTCTTATAAAGTCACTTGCATGACTGAACCCAGGATACATTTGTGAAAAAAAAAAAAAAGCCACATAAGGCAGTCTAAAAAGCTGTCTTTCCCACATGATGACATTAGTCAGTACAAAGAGTTCAACAAGGAAGCTGCTGCTGGAAATATTGCTTTCAAAAATTTCAGCAAGCATGAAGACTGAATACTTTGTTCTATATTTTTTTTTTTTATAGCAATAAATATCAAAAACTAGAAAGTTGTTCACAGATTGCTGGTACTCTCTCATGAACAGGCCTCAGTGGAAAGCTGTTTCTCAGACAATAAGGAAATTTCTACTGATGATATGAAATAGCACACTGGTCACAGTGATCATTATCACAGACTATTTGGCCATGTAAGTGCTGGGAATGTTCCCAAGAGTAAGGCTCTTCTCTGCAGGGCTTCCAATGCCAGAAAAGCATACAATCAATATCATAAGGCTGAGAAGAGTGGGGGGAATAAGCAGCTGGACAAAAAGGGAAATCCATGCTTATAGAAATTGAAGGACTGAAGATAAAAAAAAAAAACACAATTTCTAATAATGTCCACAACTAGGCCAAAATGGAGACTAAGAAAAAAAAAGAACAAATTTAGAAGTTTGCCATTTTACTAAAAATCAAATTTGAAACTTTTCAGATGTTCGTGAGGCTGTACGCTAATTTTGTGCTAATGATAATACCTTGTACAATACTCTTAAAAAATGAATGGGGAGGTATACTTTGTTTTTTTTAAAATCTCCAGAAAAAGGAAGAAATTAAGAAAAAACGAATGTAAATTTTTTTTATTTTTTTTTTTTATTTTAATAAATCACTTTCATAATTTTAGGATTCATCCAAAGTAGCAATTTTATTTTTATTTTTTTTATTACTGAAATTCAATTTAATTGATGATTGTTTTGTTTCTTTACCATGTTGGTTACTTTTAAGCTGAATTTACATTCAACTTTTTTCCTTTTGCATACTAAAAAGCTTCAAAAATTCAATCACTGTTCTGGTGGGCCGACCTAAAATAAAATAAATTTTATATCAATTTAAAAAGGAAAAAACTATACAAATATAGTTATAACAGTAATATACTTGGGCTTTTTTATGTCTTAAATGTTACAATATGGAACAATAAATGTCAGGCAGGACTATCTGAGAATCATCCAGCCATTTAATAAGAAATAGGGGGTGGAGAGCCTACCTTCGACAATGGCACTTTAGTTTCCTTCAAAGTACTCCTGTTAGAACTTAACACACCACTTTAAAAAAAAAAAAAATCAATGTAACAAGTCCTCTTCCATTGCCTTTTTAATTTCTTCCCTTTCTATGCAAAGTTGTAAAAAAACAAATTTGGACTGTAGAGGGATTGACATATTGATGTGATGTTTTACTAAAATAGCCTGCACAAGACTTCATTGATCTACTTGTTAGGACATTGTGAATGTGACAGTAACACAACCAAGTTCACTTGACATCTTACTGCCAGTTGAGTAATCACACAGAGTATACAAGCATGTGCAGTAAGGTTCCCCCTAGCTATGTATCAAGTTGCATCAAGGCTAAACAACTGGTTCTTGAGATATTCAAAATGGCTGGATACTTTCCAAACAGAACTTACATTATCATTATTTTAAAAAAAAAAAAAAAAAAGTCTGTAAAGAGACATATTTGGTTTCTGTAGCATTTCTAAAGAAATGCACCATTCTCCAAGAAATTTTTCCTTCATACCACTATTGAATAAATACTCCAGATTATGAATATAAATTTTTTAAATTTTAAGGGCTTTTTCATTATAAATGGATTCCTCTATATACAACCCCAAAAAATAAAATGCTCATAGCACATGATAAAACTCTTACTAACCTTATAAAATTGAAAATAATTTCAAATTAAAATAAATGACAAACTGGAAAATTTTTTTGACACGTTTCAAGAAATTTTCCAGTTTTTTCCATATTTTTCTAAATACTGTTGTTATATTAAATTATACAAAATTATATATTGTTATATCAAGTTAAAATAAAACAAAAATTAATATTTATGGTATTTAAAGCATATTCTTACTTAGCTTTTCCATGTGTGGTAAAATAATGCTTACATAAAAAATTTCAATGTTTCAAAACAGCAGTAAAATAAGAATTCAAAGCATATTCTTATCTTTACCCATTATTATTTCTCTTACCATTATTTTTTGGGGGTGGGGGATCAATTTAATAAGAATTTACATGGCAAAATACCCCACCATTGCTTAAAACATAAAATTTAAAAAAAAAAAAAAAAAATATTTTTTTTACACATATTTGTGATAAGGAAAACTTAACTGATGATTATCAATGATATCAAAATGTTCTTGGATAGGTGCATTTCTGTAGAAGCAGTTTCTTCAACAACTTTATGAACAAATTTACTGCTTTTATATTATTTTAAATAAGGATACTTTTGGTTTTAACATTTTTTTAAATAGTTGTTAAAACCAGAAGTATCCATATATATCTAAACAGAAAAAAAATTTATTCCAAAGATAGAAAGACATGCCTTATATGAAGCAAACAAATTCTTGATATTACTTCTATTTTCTGAAAATAATTTTAAATGCATAATTTCATTAACTGAGTCATTTTATTTTTATTAGATTTTTCTCAAAAGTATAAAAATAAAGTAAATAAAAACATCAAAAAAATATGTCTGCAACAGTAGGGTTTGTAAATTATTTTTACTTTCATTAACCAAGCAAATATGATAATGATAAAAATTACAGGAGAAAAAAATTGAAAAGTATAGAAATGAATACCTAGATTCATGGAGTTATAATTCACTTATGATCATAGTCAAACAAAAAAAAAAAACAAAAAAACACTTGCATCAGACTAACTCCAATTAAGAGAGAGTAAGAAATCAATTTGCTTACCTGCCATTCCTCCTCCAAGATATGGAACTTCATCTTTATTCATCATTACACCTGCAATATCTATGTGGATCCATTGATTTTCACCAACAAATTCCTGCAACAATGAAAAATAAAAGTTAAAACAATACATTTATAAATAAGATAATTCTTATAGAATCCACTTTCAGTAAGTCATATAAAGTTAATACATTGTTTTTGACTTCTAATGAAAATTTGCTGAAATTGATTTGGAAGTAATCTTACCTTGTTTGATATAACTTTCAGTCATAAGAACACAAACTTGGTGTCACATCTTCAAATAAAATACAATACATTTCTAATGGTAACTTATTTGTGATGGTTGGTAATGAACTTACTCTAAGAAAAGCTGCAGCTGTGCAAGATCCACCAGCACGACTGTATTTACCAATATTATTCAGGGCTGCCAGTTGAGAGAAAGTCACTTGGCTTGTAAAGTGTTGGAATAAAGGCATTCTCCATAGACGGTCTCCAGTTTGCCTCCCTGCCTACAAAAACAGAAAAAAGACAGGTGTTTATGTGAGATTTATTATTAGTTTAAAGAGGTGTGGATTCAGGATTTTGAGGATGGGAAAAATTCATAGAAAGCACAACTGGAAATTTGTTCTTAAGATTAAATAAGATTAAATTAATTGACACTATGTGACTAGCCAATTGGATTGGATTATTTCATCCATCCCTCTAGCTCTGGTTGGAACCAAAGTGGAGTGTTGTGAAATTCCTGACCACTTGCAGGTCAAGGTCACTCAGCCACTAAGACACCATTCCATGGCATCATGGGTTGCCACCCATGGCAAACAGGTAGCCCCATTGGGGTGAATTGGTTGTTTTGGGTCCATTTGTAGGGTCTCTTATTTGGGAAACTACAGTTGATTTTTTTAATTTTTATGAGGTTTGTGTCTTGTGCAGTTTAATATCCTACCCAGGTTGGTTGTTTCAATTTTGTAGGTGGATAGTTTGTTATCTGCGTGTCTGAATAATCTTATTTTGTGGTCATAGGATTTGTTAGCATTAAATTTTATAGTCTATTTATTTACAGGATATATTTTTGGGGTGTATAGTTGTCTGTGTAGTATGTAAATAGTTTGTAGACAGTTCTGCTTCATAGATGTTTGCTTAGTAGGCAATCTTGTTTCATAGCCATATTTGTAGATAAAAATTCTATTTAGCCCATAGTTGGGACAGAGTGGACCTGGGAGCAATGACAACTCAGGGGTGGCTCCACACTCCCCAAAGCTCTCAATCAGGATCCTCACCACTGGATGCATTTTCAAATCATACCCAGGACCAATTGTTCCTTAAGAACTACAAATGGTTTAAACACTTTATAAATAAAATAACACACAATATTAGGTAAGAAATATATCCTTGGAACACCTAATGAGATATATCAGCTAATACAATGTGACACATTGACAAATACTGTACCTACTTAGTGAAAATCATACAATCTAATTTTCTTAGTTTCACAAAGTGGCAATATTTATGGCTATTGCTTGTGAATATAATTTAGATAGTGCCCTGTACACAATATCCTAAAAATGGTATAGCCTATAAAGAAATGTGCATATACTTCTGAGGAACTTGACTGATATTTTTGCAAGTGATGGGTCTTCTTTCTGTTTGAATTTCTGGGTTGAAGAGTTACCATTATTTACACAATTTATATTTGGACTATTGTCCCCATCTTTACTGTTGTCATTACAACATCTGAATATAAGTAATGTAAATTATGGGTCTTCTTAATTTGGCAGTGAATCAGAAAGATTTAAGACAAATTGTAATGAAGTCAGTGAAAGCAAGGATTGTCCTGGAGTAGATGTTGAGAAATTCTGTCAATATGATGTCATGCATTTAGTAAACTCTGATAATCTATAGAAAACATTTAGTAAACTCTGATAATCTATAGAAAACTTGCTGGAGAAAAAAAAATTACTTTTGTCAATAAAATTGAGGAAAAAAAAAAAAACATTATATTTCATTCAGGTAAAAAATAAATTATTTACAATATATGCACAATCACCTATTATTATGCAAAGTTTATGGAGAAAGGGAAAATTGTTAAAAAGAATCTGATCAATCATTTTAGGTTCTTACCTTTTGCAATAAATTCCAACATGCTGAGGAATTGGTAAAAGTACCAGCAGCAGCAGAGCCCAAAGCCACACCCATAGCACCTTAGAAAAGAAAAAAAAAGAAAATGACTTGATTTGAATAGAAATAAACCAGCAAAAACTTATTTCTAGGAAAATAGAAGGAAATTTTAAGAGACATTTGTTTCTTCAATTGTCTTTTATGAATATTATTAAAAGTAATAGATTACCAGAAAGATAATACTTGATCATAATGTGTAATTATTTCTTTCTTATATTGAAAGTAACCATGCTACCAACACTGGCCACCAATTTAGAATAAATACCAAATTTTAGATAAAATCTTTTTGGTAGAATTGTTTGTTTTCATAAAACATTATATAAAAATATTATCTTTACCTACAATTTAAATATTTCCATTTTACAAATTAATCTTAAAAAATTTCTATTTATTACCAAATTGCATAGCAAAGGCAAATTTATTGAAGTATTTCAATCTACAGGTTATGTAGGTCTTCATGTTGAATCTGAGGCCCTCACCAACAAATTTGGGAGTTCTTTTCTTATCAAAACAATGCGAGTGAGTTGCTGTACTTTCATAATCACTATTAGACTAATCCAACTCTTTCTGAATTCTCTGCACTGTCCTCTGATTGATAGCTAAACACTCTGAAATGTTCATATTGGAGCTTCTAGCCCAAATGTCAAACAGTACAGCATGCCATTTCAAAATTTCTGACAGAGTGAATTGCATCATGGTAGTCTTTTTCTCAGATGGTGCCCAAATGACCCTATTATACTGTGCAGTTGACAAAATCAAAAACGAACACACATGCATAATTAAAAATATAAAATGGTGACAATTTATCCATCACACCCTGTAGGGTAATTGAAATCTGGAAGAAATATTATTTTTATATTGTTCTATCAATAGCAAATATGAAACTCTTTTCTCCATGCAACATCTGTGATTTCAAAAATCTATTTCTTTGAAGATTTATGATAGAATTCATATAACATTACCTGTGAACAATTGTTTCAGGTTTCAAAATTCTAATATAAAGAAACCAAATTCTAATTTTAATAAACATTCTAATTTTTTTTTATTATAATACTTCATATTTTCAATAAAAACCTAAACCTTTGTACATACAATTTGAATATTATTAATATTCTTATGTAAAATATAGAATAAAACAATGAAAACCAAATTAGATAATGCTCACTTTCTCTCCCTATATAAAAAAGGGGCATAATTATTTCATCAAATTTTCACTACCCAAAAAATTACAGTACTGGATCCTATATTTCCAAAAGCAATGGCAGTTACTTAGCAAAAACCATATCCTCTCCAAGGAAGCGTGGACGAGTATTAGATATTGGCACAGAAAGTGAATTAGACATGCCAAGTTCAATTACTGCTCAATTCTGCTTTGTGCAATTTGTGATAATGTCCATGGAAAATACAGGAATCCCTCTTCCTCCAGCTATGGGTTAAATAGCAGGCCGAACTGGGCTTTCATGCCTAGGGGTGACAACATTTAGAAGGAAAACTGAATTCAAAACCATTCTGAAGAGGGCTCAGTCAAGTTAGCTTGCCCTAAACACCCACTGCTGCTATGCTACAGTAAATGTGGTGTCTGTATGACCCTAGGTTATAGGACATATGCCCACCACCAAAAATGTTACTCTATTTTTTAAATTAAAAATTGTTCCATGAGCAAGTTACAATACAGTGTCATTCATGGCATTTCTAAAAGCAATGGGAGTTACTTAACAGAAACCATTTCCATCCCAAGCAAAATTTAACAGGTTGTACAGGGTTACATTGTTCAGTTAAAGAGAGTACTAGATGACCTAACCTGTTGTAAGAAGTGCACTCATGCCTTTCCAGGGGGGCCTGGGCATTAGTGTGAAGTGAACACACAAAGTATCTCAACCAGATTTTGAACTCTGTTTACCAATTCTATTTTCTATGCTGTGAACTGTTAAGTCACCTTTTCTGCTACAGTAGTGAACAAAACTTTTCTAAAAATAATGATACTGATTACATCACAAAGTCTACCAGAAAACAAAATGACTTAAACTCAGTGTAAACAGGGTTAGCAATAACTGAGCTTTACTAAAAAGAACTAGACAAGATATCTCTTGACATGGTCAGCAGAACCTGAACAATATTCCGCCATAGATTAGAGAGCACAAAGGCCAAAATGTTATGATAACAACAAAGATGAGGATAATAGTATAAGGGTAAAAAAGAAAAACTATACTTAAATCATTGTTTTGTTGATAATTAAACAACAAAAACAGTTTTTCTATTGTGTAGAGACTTGGCAAGGAATACCGTAAATTAAACAAATAACCATTAATTAAATGTCAAAAGTTTAATTTGTTGGACTGGCTTTATTTCAACATCTTCATACTAAATAAACAAATAAATCCACTCACCAGTTAGAGTTGCCATATCAAGGATGAACTGAGGATTAAAACTGCTGGCATAACACAAAGCATCAGCCAAAATCAATCGCCCTTCAGCATCTGTATTATCAACCTAGGCGCCATAAGCAGAAAAATTTCAGAAAATGAATATAATTGATCATACATTATGAAATGGACAAAGTCTGACAATTATTTTAAGACATTTTTTATGTTTTTACGTTCTTTTTATAGATACAAATATTTAAGTAAATGCTCTGTTTATAATAAACAGTATTAACGACATTTACTGGCCCGAATGCCTGAGAAATTTTTTATAGAAGATATGCGTCCTCCAACAGGAATCGAACCTATATCCTATACGGAACCATCATATAGCCCGATATGCTTTACCAATTTAACCACAGAGAAGCATTTCGGTTAGCAAGGTATTTTACTGTTTTTAAACTACAATTCTGACTAAATCGGTAAAGCACATCAGGCTATATGACAGTTCCATATAGGATACAGGTTCAATTCCTGTCAGAGGACACATATTTTCTATGAAAATTTCTCAGACATTCAGGCCGGTAAATGTCGTTATACTGTTTATTATAAACAGAGCATTTACTTAAATATTTGTATCTATAAAAAGAATGTATAAACATAAAAAATGTCTTAAAATAATTGATCACCTAAAATTGAAATAGTACTGAAGACATTCTTTCTCTGTAATCATGTAGTCATTAAAACAAAAAAAATGTAAATATATGAAAAATTGGGATTTGGATGGGTTAATTTACCAGCACACCAGCCCCAAGGGTCAAGATATGAAAGAAAAGACCAACACCTGAATTGTTTTTCCATTCATTGCAGTAACAACATCCCCAGGTTTCGTAGCACTTCCACTTGGCATATTTTCACATAAAGGAATAAAAGCTGAAAAATAAAAGACAAATGATGAAATAGTTAACAATTTAACAAAAAAAAAAAAAAAAAAAAAGATGAATTTTATTTTTAATCAGATTTTTCTTATTTCTTTAAATAACTGAGTGCTGTATTTAACTAACCAGTTTCCAACTTTTTCCTTTTACAAATAGATATTTTGGATAATTTAAAAAAATTATTTTGGAGTCACTTATTTAGAATTCATTATTTGCTATCTAACCAGAATTCATCTATAAAATTCTTATAGACAAAATTGTTTTTTACTGAATTAGGCATTTTAGCAAATGGTTACAGATGTATCTAGACTGTGGATAAATTTTTCATGCCCATATTTATATACTTGTAAAATCAACAAAAGTCATACAGTGATCAACAAATCAAACAGAAAAATTAGGAAGAGAAAATATGACAACTATAAGACTGGAATTTTGGTTTGTTTTATTTAATGAGAAGAGATATCCTGGAGCACTTCATCACAGTCAACCATAATTAAATTTCAAAAGTAAAATTTCAACCTTTTAAGTTTATTGGCAGCTGAAGCTTAGTAACACCAAAGATAGTTCCAACAACACAAGCTGCTCCACCCATATCAGCCCTCATTTTGTCCATATCAGCTGAAGGTTTTAAAGAAATGCCTCCTCTAAAAGAAAATAGCAAGAAAAGTCATATAAATTATAGATATAATATACAGGGTTATTCAAAAAGAAAGAGCAGATTTCAAAAATTTAATAAAAACTTAAGAGACAGATTAAATCTAAGAAAAATAAATAGAATTTAATAAAAAAATGCTAAGAGACAGAAACATATTCAACACATTACTGGATAAGAAAAGAGTTTTATTAAAATTTTAAAGATATTTTTTTTTAAACAAACAATTGTTGGTGGAGTATACAGAAAAATCAGTGTCAAGAGAAAAACTGTCTTTTTGACACACCATTTTTTTTTTTTACCCAGTTACGTCAAACTTTGCCAAGTTATTATGCAGTAAATGTTATCATTGGTTTATTTCTTCCTTGGATTTGAAGACAATTATCTGTCCACCTATTGAAGAGTCCTCCAGCCTGCACTGATTGTTCAAAATAGAGATCAACTGAGTCTATGCTCTAGGGTTAGAGGTCTTCTTTAGTAGCTCAGTGAGTCAAGGTTACTGCTAAATTGTAGATTTTTGGCAGAGTAGTCTTCTCTTAGTTCAAGTGTCTGTTAGAGCAAAGTATAAATAACTGCTTTTATTTGCCCATAGCCAGGGGACCAGACAGATGGGAAAAATCCTTGACTTGAATGGATTCATAGCCTTCTCAAAGACATGAATACAAATCTCCCCAAGCTACAATCTCTACAAGAATCCCGTTTTTCATGTTAATAACCATTATCTGATTTCTCAGAGATTATGTCAATGTGCAAATTAATAATAAAACCATGACAAGGGAAATAGATTAGGATTATAAAGAGTATTAAGCTTGCAATTATGGTGCATATTTACAATTTGTCGTTTTTTGGGGTAAAGTACTTTAAAAACTTATTTCCTACTGAAATTTTTTTTTAATTGTCATATAAACTAAAATAAAAATGTTTGCAAAGACAAAAAACAGCTTTTAAAAATTATATTCCTTTCATTTTTTCAGAGGGGATGTAACCGTTGATTCTTGGAATTTACCTTCAACCCAAAATATAAGGAAATTTCAGCAAAATAGAAACCAAAACGGACTGTTACATCAAACAATTTCATTCAATAAAGGAAAAGAAAAATACAATTATCAGATATGCCAACAATCTTCACTTTCTTGCTGAAAAAAAAGGTAAAATACTTTAATATACTTTAATAAAGAAAATATAATTATACTCAATTTTTTTTAAAATACAAATATTACTTACGAATCAAAAGTGATGCCTTTTCCCACAAGAGCAATAGGAGGTAAGGATTCACCACCACCATTCTCATAGCTCAGTTCAAGGAAGCACAAAGGTTCACGAGATCCACGTGACACAGAAAGAAAAGCACCCATCTTTTGACTTTCCACCCATGTCTGATCCCTGGCCAAAACATATACAGTTAATCAAATTGATGTCTAAAAGAAAATGCTACAAAAACAAAAAGTTAATAAATATAGTTTTTTTTTTTTTTTTTTTTAAACCCTTTTTATACAAGCAATTTTTTCAGTTTTTTATAGCTTAAGATGACTCTTTTGAGCCAATATATTTTTAATATAGAAAGTAAATTTTTTTAAGGATTGAACAAAAATGTCCCAACAGTATTATTCTGTAATAAATTATTTACAAAACTGAACAGATATTAAGAACAGATATTTTCTTGGGTCTTCAATGTCCCAGTAGGATCTACGTTAAACTAAGGGCATGACTAAAAATTTAACAAATTAAAAAAAAGAAAAAAAATCATTACACCTTGGTTGTGAAATTATTTTGTGAGGATTTCAATCCGTGTTACTTACCTAACTGTCACTTGACATAATCCTGATAATTTCTCATTGACCATTTCTGTAAACTTGGTTGGTGTCAATATATTTGAAGGCATTTCCATTAGAAGTCTGGCAAAATTTTGAGCTTCTGCATAAATGGTGCCAAGTTCCCAATCTGCTTTAACTTTAGTTCTTTAAAAAAATTAATAAATAGATGAATAAACAAAGGTTTTATAGAAAGCTTCAAAGAAATGCCCTAAAAATTAAGTTTTGCAACAATGAACATATTCTTTTTCAAGACATTTCAATGAAGTTTTATTTCAAAAGATACTTTGGATTTTTTCTATTGAAATAATTCTCACAGCATTTCTCATTTATACACAAAACTGCTTAGTTATATAATGTTACTTGATAATGAATGATGAATATGTCAAATGCTGTTGAGGAAAAAAAAAAAAACAACAGCTCAATGAAAATATTTTTTTTCAAATATGTATTTGATTAATGGTATAGATAGATAGGCAGTGAAGTAATGGATAGTGACTCAAAATGAGAAATCGGAGAGCAGAGCTCGAATTCCAGTTGCGTTCGATACATTCATCCTTGGGAAAGGTATGAATCCATCTTTTTTCCACCCAACTATGGATAAATAGCAGCAGAGTCTGGGCTCTATAGCCTTTGTTGGCAACAAGTTTAGGAGAGTGAAAACTGAGAGAGGGTTGGATTCTGTCAGGCTATCTTCCTCAAGACACACTAATGCTGCTACGACTGTATTACATTTGAAGCCCCTAATATCCCAATGGGTTATGAAACTCATGATCGTGTTAAAGATAAACTATTCAAAAGAGAAAATTTAGTATATGAAATACATATAATAATATATGTATATTTCATATCTTCAATTTTCCCTTTTTAGTCATGGTGCACAGCTATTTTAATTTTTTTTTTCCTCGATTGAGCTCTGATGAGAGACAAATGAGAACTGGTCAGCTTATTTTGCTCCTTTTTGAATTATTTTTCATTTTCAAATTGCCACTTATGATGACTGTAATATTTTTTCCTTTATTTATTTTCCTCTATATAATAAATGCCAATGTCAGTGTGTCATACTTTTTCAATTAAAAGGGCCACATCTCTAATTTTCAATAGCCCATTTTGCAGAGATTTTGAATTCTCAAGTTTCCATTACTGTGATTGTTTTTGGCAATTTTTTTTTTACATTATTCAGACTATTGTCCTCATCTTTGTCACCATATTTGTTACGTTTCAGCCGTTGTACACTCCAGCCTTCTTCAGGTGGTTGGAATGTCAAACCTAACCCTTTATTTCGCTCACTGGGGTAGACTGTTCTAGTTCCACGTGCCATGTTTAATGGATGTCAGTTATCAGTTATCTCCTGTTAATTTCCCTCTGAAAGTTCTCCATTGCCTTAACCGGGTATTGAACTCACACTCTTTGGGTCCTGTCACTGGATCTAACCAATGCCTTTATCCACTGTAACATGTGTCCTTGATAATGGCACAGTGGATAAAGGCATTGGTTAGATCCAGTAAATATGGCAACAAAGATGAAGACAATAGTCCAAATAATGTAAATAACGTACATAATACCTCATCTCAGAAATATAAACAAATTTTTTTTACGTGATTTATTGCAACAAATTCTTTGTACAATAATTTTTATAACGTAGAAATAAATTTGGGAATAATTGAAACTAACTGCGAAAACCATTGAAAGTCACCTATGAAATAAAAATAATTGTTTGTACAGAAAGTAAGGACCTATGAACATCAAATTGTCATTAAGTGGTGGCAGAAGAATTATCATTGAACTTTTAAAAGGTATGCTTAGATATTAATGCAATACTTAAATGCTGTGATCAATTTTGAGTTCTTTAGATTATTGTTGCTAATCCCATACAGCAGCAGTATGTCTCACAAAAAGAAATCTTCAACAGAGGACCAGAGTGCAATCAAAAGAGCCAAGGCTGCAGCAAGGAAATAAAATGAGAACAGCAGCTAGGAGAGCTTCCAATGCTGAGAATATGCAAAGATTTAGGAACTCTCAAAGTCCTGAACAAGCCGAAGGCCCCAATCAAGAGCCCTCAGCAGGAGCTTAAATGCTGCCCAATAGGGTGGCTTTTAAGCTAGTTTTTAAATAAATATGTCGTTTTTTTATAACATTACTTAGATTCTGTACCAGCAAAAAGATCTTTAAAAATGTATTTGATTGTTTCTCATGCCAGAAATTTTAAACCACTGGTTAGATTACATATACTGTATTTGATGATATACAAGGTTCCACCAACACCACCACCCTGCCAAAAAAAAAAAAAAAAAAAAAAAAAAAAGCTCAAAATATCTCCCAGATTTTATATGCAAAGTTGAAGTATTTGGTAGCAAAGTATCAGTACATGTACAGAGCTGAAATCTATAAAAGTACATTATTATTTAATCAAATATTATTGCCATTATTATTATTATTATTATTATTATGAATACTATAATTAAAAACCGGAATTAAGAAAAAAAAATAAAACAGGAATTATTTACACATGGACTATTGTTGTTATCATGTTTCAGCCACCGTGCACTCCAAACTTCATCAGGTGGTTGTCAGGACAATAACCTAGAGAATTGAGTTCATGAATTTGGTGATATAGTAATTGCAAGTTCAACCTCTGGGTTGAACAGTGTATACTTTGTCTCAGTGGAAAATTGGTGAGCAATAACTGAGCAGTACTAAAAATAAGAACTAGATATTGTGAGGCATGGACAGTGGTACGAGAACAGTCTACCTCCATACATTAAATAATAGGTTCAGTTCAGAATTCTCTGTGGGTTACCCAGATCAATATACACCTAAGAAACACCAGGAGGGCACAATAGTCTGAATATAAATAGTTTAAATAATGATAACTCTTCATCCTAGAAACTCAGACAGAAATTTGATAATTCAATTCAAAAAGATTTAAAGATAAAGCATAAAAAAGAAATTGATTTTTTTTTTTAAATACACATTGTAATCATAATCCTTTTTAATTAGAGATTATAATCTGCTACTTCAAACTCAGGGAAATTATTTTTTAAATCTCTCTCACATTGAACTGAATCTAACTAATAGTAATTTCTTTACCTTTCTGCAGAGTTTAAATGTTCCACATAACAGGACAGTTCCATGCTTGGCTTTCTTTTGTCAACTGGTTTCAATTCATCATATTTGTGCACAGACAAATGACATCCTTCTGCAGATGCTGTAATAAATAACCAGAAATATTTAGAAAAAATTAAAGCAAAATATAAGTAAGGTTGAAACAGTAGACAAATAGTTGAAATAAGTAAAATTTCATCCCACATGATAAAGGAGTTAAATTTACTATAGAGAGATACAACTGACACCCAGTTGGTCCTCAGATACTTGAATCTACAATATTTCTGTGCTATACATGCATAGCACAAAAAGCAACCGCACTGAAAATGTAGTAAAGTTTGCATTATTCAATTATTCTTTCAACAAAGGTTAAGTTACAGAACATTTAATTGACAAGTGTTGTGGGTAAAGTGTTAAAAATATTGAAGCCAACCTGTAGAATGAAGAATTGCAATCTTTTAAAAATGATTTTTCAAATCTCTCCTGCTCAGCAATATGACCCAGGGAAAGCAGTGATCAAGTGGTGGAGTAATGGCTGCAAGGTATGAAGACCACAGCTTAAAAATTAAATGATCATTTTTTTTTTTTTTTTAAATACTAAATGTAAATTTAAAATAAATTGATTTTGGGATGATTTAAATTTTTTTCAAGTTATTCCTGGAGATGTTCTAGAGCAATGGTGAAAGAATTTATTCTGAAGTCTTGGAACTCACCAATTGCATCATCACAGGGATCCACAAATACCACCGTCTGATCAGCATCTCTTAGCTGAAGTGCACCTTCTGGAAAGCAACAAACAAATATTGTCAGTTAGTACAAATAACAGAATCAGAATGAAAATATTCATGTTTCAAGATATTCTAATCAGAAGTAATAATAATAATAACTAAGGGAAATTACTTGCAATGGCTGCTCTCACATTTTCCCTCCCTTCATCAAGTTCTTCAAGTTCATTGAAGCCTTGTCCTTTTTTTCCAACATGTACCACAGACACTAAAGGAAATTCTTCATCCAGACCAAATAACAATTGGCTTTTGCCTTTCTTAAAGGATTTTCCAAATCTGAAAGAGAAAATAAAAAATAGTAGTATAAAAAGTAACAATAATAGTATTTAATTATACTATTATATCTAACAGAAATGGCACTAGTTGAATTGATTGGTCCACTCATTAACATATATATATATATATATATATATATATAAAAAGGAAGAAATTTAGTACAATTTTTGTAAATTAGCATTCATTACACCTTCCACAAGCCATTTGTCTTGTCAGAATAAAAAGCATTGATTTTTTTATTATTTTAGAGGTTGGGTTGTCTGGTTCATAATATAAATACTGTCAAATCGATCCCTGGTTTCATAAGGAGTTATCTGTACTTTGTTTTTATTTGCAAATGTTAAATTTGAAATTGTACTTACATTATTGATAATTGCATACTAATGATGATATCCTTTTTTCAATTCATAATAATACAGTTATCAACAATGTAAGTACAATTTCAAATTTAACATTTCTAAAGAAAAGCAAAGTACAGATAACTCTTTACGAAGTCAAAGATCAATTTGAAACTATTTATATTAAGAACAGGACACACTTTTTAGAATAAGAAAAAAAAAAAAAAAAAAAAGACTTTTTTTTTTTTTTTTTTCGATTTTAAAACTTTCTCTACCCACAACATTTGATAGAAACCAAATGTCATGAATAGTGGCTGGTTTCATGAATGCTAATCCACAAAAATTATTCTCCACCAAAAAATTATCTCCCAACTTTTTCTTTCAAAAAGATGACGAATTAATTTAAGAAACAATGTATAATAAATAATAAATAGTACAATAATAATATAGTAACTGTTACTAATAATGGTATAAAATTAAAAATGATATTATAAAATAGAATAAAAATAAATATACAATAACATTATATTATTATACTATTAAATTATTATATATAATAGAATACAGATGCTATTCAAAAGTCAGGGAGGTTTTTCAAAGCACAAAATGAATTACTCCAAAATTAAAAAAAAAATTATAGAAAATAATAAGTAAGAGAGAGAAAATGCTGGGTAATTTAAAAGGTTGTTTGAATTCTTGAAATACTTTGGAGTTGCACTTCATATTTTATTAATTATAATTGATAGTTTTAACTTCAATTTGCAAATGACTATATCAAATCTAGACATTATCTTTTTAGTAATTTAACATAAAATTTCTTAATTTTTGTTTGATTGTAATCTACATCATTATCTACAATATGAAGCCATTAAATAAGAATTATAATAAAACTTAGATAATAGTCCTTTTAAAAAAATTATTTAAACTAGTTTTAACCCGTGAAAATTTCATGGTTTTCCCATTTTAATATTCTGATGAATCATAATTCTTAAGTTAATGAGCTCATGGCAAGTTCTGCAACAATAAAATACCTGTAGAAATTCTCTTGTCATGTTCTTAAATATTTGAGCTTAACTTTAACAAAATATTGCAATAACAATCATAAATATGAATGCAGGTCGTTATTTTAAGAAATGAGTTCAAATGAAAAGATTTGAAATTGACAACTTTTTCCTCTTCACTGAAATAGCTGTTAAACACTTCTATCTTCCTTTCTTTTTTTTTTCATTCAGTTTTCATTGAAAGCAAGTAGTGTCTTTCCCCTCTTTCCACGCAATCAAACTAGAATAGTCCATTATTTATGAGGTATTGGCAGGTGGTAATGGTCGTGCAAACTAATGATGAGTGGACCAAGTACAATTATAATAGAATGATGTAATAATAAAAATATTTATCCTCAGAATTTCTGACAAGTTGATTATAAAAAAAAGTGATGAAGTATGCTCATTTAGTAAACACAAACTCTCTCACTGTCCTGTGTTGAAACTAAGAGGGATAAATATTTTACACCAACATGTTGGGTAAGTACAAAAGTCCCTGACATAATCTTTTTAAAAAACTAGAGACTGAAGACACAATAGAAAAACATTTCTTTAATATTTTCCACAAAACTAATTCATTGTGACTGGTGTTTAATAAAATAAATTATGTGTATATGACTTTCTTTAAGTTAAAAAACCTTTGTCTTTTCATTTAAAAGAAAACTTAATGTTGTATGACATGTTAACTAGGCTACTGAAATTGGTTTAAACCACCCTGTCTTTTTTTTTATGGTATGTGCTAAAGTTATGCAAATTTAGCTTGGAGATTTTTACATAAATAAATGATAAAGCTCATAACTGTTGCCATTATACAGCAGTGGAAGGAAAAAGAAAAAAAAAAAAATTTATTTATATATATATATATATATATATAAAATAATAATGAAGGATTTCTTGAAACTTGATGAACCATTTGTGGCAAAATATACATCACAAGACATGAAATTGTTCAAGAAGAAAAGGCTAGAACATTCTATGGAACCAACTGAGAACACGGCTAAACTTAAAGAATCACTTGAATCTTTGAGTATACAGATCTCCAATCTCAAAAAAAAAATAAAAGATGTTAAAAGCCATTATAAGCAGATACACGGTGAACAAGAAATGTTGAAGGCACAATTACTGTAAGGCAACAAATGGGACAATTTCAAAATAAAGAAACCCTGAAAGAAAAAAGAATCCAATGTGCAATCTACAATTGGATGTGAAGTTACCGAATAGCTTGTTACTTGTGTAGCTGTTGTTTAAAAAATACAAGTTTATAACTATCTGTCTTGATACAAGACTGGACAGTAAAAGTTACTTTCATCTGCAACTATAAAATTGTGCCACTTGAAATTTGTTTGATTTACAGAAAATCATGACTATTCTTACTCAAATATTATATTTTGAATACCTCCTTATTTATTTAGAAATAAGTTTTGAAAACAAAATGTTTGTTGAATTATCTGTTGGTTTTGCCCATATTCATCTATGACAAGAATAATTAATTTATTTTAATAAATTTCTTCTTGTGGAAATTATCAAATAAAATTAAACTCTTTATCATTCCTAATGCAAGATACACAACCAAACTTCCCTCTAAAATTATCAGAGAATCAAGAAACAATAAACTGATGTAGCAGCAAAACTCTTATAAGCTCAATATTGTCTATTACAAAGTCTCTTAACAAGTCTGTTTCCTTATCTTTAGTAATAAGCAAAACATACCTATTTTAAAATGATTATATATTTATTTAATAAAGTAGAAACAATACATAAAAAACCTAAAATCAATGGTTTTCTTCACCAAAAATACTGTTCCCAAAAATTAAAATAACATTCACAATACAATATTAAATTTCAATGAATCAACACTTGAAATAAGCAAATACTGAAATGAATGTCTTGTCTTTTTTTAACGAATATTTAATATCCTGTAACTTGAGTAATCTTAACAGTAAATGAAAAATTATTATTGAACATAGTAAAATTAAGTGTATTAAAATCACATTCAAGATGAATGCTTCATCTGAAATTCTCTTTACTTTATAGCATTACTCTGTAATCTTTCACAAGGAGTATTTTTTTTTCTTACACTTAAATGAATATTATCTGAGAACAAACTGAACAGATGTTTCAGTATGCTAACTTAACACATAAAATTTACATTGTACTTTTTTTTTTATCTCAAGTCTTGTAAATTCTTGTTACTTACAGTTTAAGATTGTTGCTCAACTTTCCATTGCATTTCTCGTCAAAAGCTTCTGAGGCTTTAGAAAGGAAAAATGGTTTCTCCTTAGATTCATCTTCATACACACCAAGAATGAGTCCTTTATTCTGGAGTCAAGCGAGAGAAAAAAAATTTCAAATCAAAGTTACATGAAAAAGTCAAACTGCTGAGATATTGAATATTATTGAGATGAGATATAGTAATTATGAACATAAATTCTATAAACAGTGTTTTACTTTTTTTGTTTGTTTTTTTTTTAGTTTTTTGTCCCAACATGGAAACCAATCATTCATTCACTAAAAAAAAGTAAGGCAAACTCACAAGGTCTGTTATTTTTAAGTGCATAGGGAAAATATGTGATTGAAAAATGCCCTTATTATTAATTCGTTATTCATTGAAAAAAAAAATTTTAAGACAAGTGTCCTTAATAAATCTTTTACAAAAGCAATTAAAAGCTTTTAGAATTAAATAATGTTATAGATTTATTACTTTTTTTTTTTTATTCGGAACTGATTTTCGGGAAATGAGTAGTAGCTTGAAAAAAAAAAAAAATCGATGATTTAAAAAACATTCTCTGAGGAGTCCTTTTTAATACAAATTTTAATTTTCTGATGAAAAAAAAACTTAATTTCGAGAAATTAAGTAAGTGTGGGGGGTAACATATATAAAAAATTTTTACCAAGATTTTCTATAAAAAAAAAATTCAAAAATATTTCATTTATGAATGTCCTGAAAGTTTAATTGAAATCCGACAATTGTTTGATTTTTGGAAGAATTTCCCAATCAATGTTTTTCACCTGAAAAAAAGGCGCTAAAACACTAAAAAAAACGTAAATATTAAGTCGCTTGCTGACGCAAAAAAAAAAAAAAAAAATTTTTAGTTAACCAAAATTTCGAACGTGCTGGAAAGGATTAAAAATTTAATAAAATAATAAAAATATTTTGGTCTTTCCTCTCAGTAATAGCATAAACATTTTGAATCTTTGATGAAAACCTTTTATTAAATTTGGGGCCTTTTTTCAGCGAAAAAGTGGAGGTTCATTAGGAGGACACATCCAACTTTTTCCGAATCCTCTGCACTGTCCTCAAATGGACGCCCAAGCACTCAAATGTTTGCATTATTGTAGCTTCTGGCATGAATGCCAAGCAGTACAGCATGGCGTTTCCAGATTTCTGGCAGAGTGAATTGCATCATAGTACTCTTTTTCTCACGGACGGTGCCCAACTGACCTTACTATAATGTGCAGTCGACAAAAATAAAAACAAAAGCGCATGCTCGAAATTAAAAATATATGCTGACAATAATTTACCCATTGCATTGTGTGTGTGTGTGTGTGTGTAATTAGAAAAAAACTAGAGAAAGAGATTTAGTAGTTCTCTTCTCTTTTACTCCAATTGTTAATAAATGCAGGGTTTTTTTTTTCGATGTGGGATGGTGTCATCAGTAATTTTCAACATCAGAGCGAGCCCCATTCTCTGGTTCATCCCATAGGGACTGTTCGAATCCTGATCCACCCTCCCGACAACTGGGTATAAAAGGTTAGAGAGCCGTGATCGCCCACCTACTGAAAGGACATGGCACATAAAAAATTAGGCTGCAGACTTATTGATTTACCTTCGGCGTATGTCCTACGTGGACCTTATCAATAAATAAATGTCAGGTTAGATAACATAAAGGAAAAAATAGCGGCTAAATTTTATTTTTATGCATACCATTTTTCATTTAGAAACTAAAGAAATCTGCCAAATAGAATTTTTACCTGTGATGATGCAAGATTCAACATAGTGGTAAAAAATATCCTTAAACGTTATTTAAGTGAATTACATAAAAATGATTTTCATTTACGTGTTTGGTGCGAAGCTGGTTGTACTTTTAAAGTTTATGGCGAGTAGCTTCGCAAAATAAAAAAACAATTTTTTTTAGTAGATAACGATGAAATTGTGAGAAAATTGTGCTTTCAGTTTAAATGACGGGTTGCTCGGATCAATTTTTTGGGTATTACTGTTTTGGAGACTGGTTGATTTGCCTATATTTATCTTCAAGTATTTCAAAAAAATTTCATGATTATTCAGAAAATTTTATCAGCAAACAAACGATATCAAGCGTGACATTGTTTTAAAAGGGCTGATAGAAAATGCTCAATCATAAAAAGATAAAAGAAATTTAACAAGATTTTAAAACAAAAAAGTTTAAAACAGCCTTCTGCTTTGTCATTTCCACTGAATAAATAGATAAATAAAAATTGGCTGATAGTGTTGGTAAAATAAAAAAAGAAACTAAGAATTTCGTGTAACTGTAATAGTGTAAGAACGGTAACCTAATTTGAAACAACACTCGTATTTTAGTTACTACTTGAAATTAACCTTCAAAAACTGAAACCGCACTTTCTTCTCAATTTAAACAAATAAAACTGCTCACGTTTGTTCTGGAAGTGGAAAAAAGCCGATATACTTGCGCTGACTTATAATAAATGTGTCTGAGTCGTAAATAATTAACTGTTTTAAAGATACACACCGGCATTGTGAACAAGGGAGCAGACATCTTCAAAGACCGCTTACAATCCTGAAATTTGATTAATCAATAACCTGGTTTGGCATATTTTAGATTCACATTTATTTTTATTTTTATGTTTTATGCTTTGTATTTATTTCTAATAAAAAATTTAAGATTGTTATTGGTTTGCATTTTTAACCACGAATTTTGAGATGGTCGATTTGAGAGAGAGAGAGAGTGTGTGTGTGTGTGGGGAGGTGGGTAATGTTTTTTTTTTTTTTTTTACTCTCATGCTCATCTTTTCCTTCTTTCATCTTCTCCTTTCACTGACACTGAAAAATTAATAGTAAAATTATATAGGTACCATAAAAAAATGGATACATTTTTATTTCTGCAATGAAAGCAAAAAAAAAAAAAAAAATCGCTACCACCACCGTGTTCAAAAAAAAAATGCACCGGATTAGGGAATTATCCGATTTTTAAATGAAAGTTTTCAGTACTTATTCATTCATAAATGAATTGTTGTATTAGAAATTTTTGCCATAAATATTTTTGAGAGACAGATTTCCCTCACTTTTCGATAGCTTATATGTACTTTTTTTTTTTAATTTGGGACGCGGTGTGTTCGCGAATTTTTTTACAATTATAAAAAAAATCCATGAAGATTATTTCAATAAAAAAAATTATGCAATAAGTCGTGTGAGTAAACCGAAAATTTGTCCCGAACCTTCCCCCATTCAATAAAATTCAAAATGCAATTTTTTGAGAGTTGATATTTGCTTCAATAAAAGTAAAAAAAAAAAAAGATTTTTTTCTAGATTGAACAGGAAAAAGAATCTATAATGATTTTTTAAAATTTTTATTTTAAGTACTTGTAATTTTTCAGTGCGATTTTGAAATCTCTGTTGCTGTTCGTAACAATAATTTTTTTTTTTAATTAAAAAGACATGTTTGAAGAATCGAAAAATTTAAAGTTTAACGACATTTTTGAGTGAATAATTTTTAAAAGACTTTAATTTTTTTAAAATAGTTCCAATTGTTAGATTTCTTAGTATGGAAGTTCATAAAATAAATAATTCAATTAAATTACTTCCTTTGATTGACTACTCTCCCCTATTGAAAGAATAATTATGATAATTCAATAATTCTTAGATTCAAAATAATTAAAAAAAGAAAAAGACCGCATTGGTTGCAAATAAATATTCTATGACATCAAAGAGGTAAGAAAATATTCAAAAAATAAAAGCAATGAATTAAAGTCAAAAGTATTATTTCACTTGTCTTTAATACATTCTATTTTTTACTTCTAATGTAAAAACACAAAATTACTGGGTGAACTGATGTTCTTTGCATTTAATGTAAAATATGTTATGAGATTTATGTAGAGTGCTTAATAGTTTTCCTGCAAAATTGACTTCACACAAAAAATTGCAAAAAACTGAAAAAAATCTGATTTTTTGTACTAAAGATAAAAACTTGAATAACTTCCTCATTTTTTATTTGATTTTCAGCAAACATGTCACAAAAAAATTGCTATCATGCAAGATATAAGATAGTATGGTAGTACTTCTTGTTTCCATGCTTATAACAAAAATCCACAAAAAACTGTTGAAAAAAGCTTGTTTTTCGGCCATAACCTCCTGTTTTTTTTTCCATCCAATGCTTTAAATTTGCCATGTAAATTAGATATGACACACAAATTGTTTTGCATGAATGTTTGGTTTAAGTGGTCAAAATATGCATAAATTTAAGTCCAAAATCAGCTTTTGCCATTTAGCCAATAGTTTCTTCATATAAATCCATCCTAAATTGGCATTCAAACAACCTTTGGTGCAAAGATTGTTTTCACCATAACATATCTTTAGGTTTGCCACACTGCCTTTTGCTCATGTGTGCTTATAGTTGGTATTATTTTGGTCATGTGATTGAAGTTTGAGCTTGATCACATCATTTTTTTTGCTGCTGTTATGCTAGCAGTGTGCACCAAGGAGAAACAAAGAGTAATGGTCCAATTACTCCGATTGGAAGGTGTGTCAAGGACTGAAATACATCGGAGGCTTTTAACACAATATGGCGACAGTGCACTACTGTGTACAAATGTGTATGAGTAGATCAAGAAGTTTAAAAGTGGCTGGACAATTGTGACACAAAGAAAAAGCAGGACACCCGTTAACCTCCAAGATCAATGAGAAGATTCAGCAAGCTCAAGAGATGGTAATGGCAAACCAGTGAGTTATCACTGATGAGGTAGCTTGTTATCTGTAGATTTGGATCACTGCTCTTTTCTCATCCTTTGTGCACACTACCAATAAAGTGATTATGTTTACACTGTAACGACAGCAAGAAAACCGGCATAATCAAGCACAAATTTCAGTCACCTGTCTATAATTATTTTGATAAGATCTATTCATGAAAACTTCCCTGTGCTTTTGGGCAATCCTAGCGAAAAGCTTAAAATAGATACCTGCGACTGCTTGGTGTGCCAACCATGGAAAAGTTTATTGTCTTTTATTTGTACATGACTGTATAATTGGCATGAATTTTCTTGTAGGCAGTGGCACTCAAATTTCTTTAATTGCTGCTATTAAGAGAGATAGAATAAAAGGATCATGTATGTTTACACTTCAGGTCAGTAATAAATCTCTTTTATTATTAACAAAAATGCCTGTCCCTGAATTTAGTCTTACACTGGGATTTTCATCCACATCTTTGTAATTGTGGATGTGGAAAATACCATACTGGGTGTTTTTTTTATGAATGTGGTCATCTTAATTAAAATTTAAATCAACTGTGCTAAAATGTCAAGTTGGAAATTCCAAATTTATGCCATCTGGATTTGGTCCATTTAAAATTAGAAAATTATACCTAAATCTGTGAAAACTTTTGCCAGAAAGGCGGGTCTAGTGAATCATAACTTTTGCATGCCCAATTTTCAATTTTTTGCATGTCCAATTTTTTGCAATAGGGAAATACAAATGGGAGAATAAACCTTTCTTCTCTAGCTCTCTCTTGTTAAAGTCCATTATTTTTTCTAACCAATCAGAAAAGAGAACTATTACAGCCCAATCAAAAATCAACCTATCAAAACTCTATTTGGAACCAATATATATTCTTAAATTTTATTTCAGTTTCATTTATCTGTTATCAGATTGATTACTGTAGTACCATATGCAAATGAGATAGACAAATATAAATAGAGAACAAATGGTGAACATTAGGGCATTGCTTAGTGAACCCATTTGTTAAACATAACATGGAGAACTGTGCTACAACTGCTACTACACAGAGATATACACCAAACATAACAATGGCATCACTGATAGGATCATTAAATTTGCTGGATGACCCAGAACACATAAAAACATAGATGAGAACTTTTGCTGCATTTGCAAGAGTGAAAAAATTAAGAGACACAAAGGCCGATGGAGGAGAGAATGAGATAACGGATTTATTTCTTGCTACCACTGGGTGTGAGACTACAAAGAAAGTTTCAACAATGTGTTACCCGAGTGAATTAGAAGAAATGACATTTGAAAAAATTGTTAAAATTGTAAAATAGAACATAAGACCAAAGAAAAGATTGGTCATTGCTGAAAGAACCAAGTTTTTGGAGACAAGACAATCACCCAATGAGTCCATTATACAATACTTACACAGATTGAAAGAACAAGCCAAGTATTGTGAATTGGAAAAGTTGGGAACTCAGGAAATGACTATAGAAGACAAATTAATCCTTCTCAGAATAATTGAAGGCTTGCAAGACCAGAATCACAAACGAAAGATACTGGAATGTCTACAGAGTAGTAGCATGAGTTTGGAAGCTAGCATCGAGTTTTTGCAACAATTAGAGTTGATCAGAGAATTTAATCAACCAAAAGAAAAATTCAAGACATACAGGACAAGCATGACCAAATCCATAATTAAATGTAAATATTGTGGAGAAAATCACAAGAGAGACAAGTACAAATGTCCAACTCTAGAAAAAATATGCTCAAATTGCAAAAAAAGAGATAATTTTCAGAGAGTATGCAAATATGAAAAGAAAATATAAAGAGGGCAAAAGGTACAAACCCCCTCCAAAGAAGTAGAAATATTTGCAATGAATGCGCAAAAAAGAAGTAGAGAAAAAAATAAGGATAAATGGCCAAATATTTAACATGCAAGTTGATGCAGACAGTGAAATCACGTTGATACCAAAAAATTTCTGGATAAAATTAGGACGACCTAAATTAAAACAAGCAACATCCAATTAAAGCAATTTGATGGAATGACCATTAGAATAATGGGTACATTTCAAGGCAATTTTGAAACTGTTATATTCTGTGCTAATAGGAATATATACTTGAAAAACAAAGTGGATAAAATAAAACAGTTTATTGTAAAAACCAGTACAATAAGAAATAAGGTAACAGTTATGCGCACAATCATCGCAAGTCAATCCAGTAGTGAGTGCTATTATTGGAAGGTTGGTAGTTCTCACGTAAGTCTGAGTTGTACTCAACAGATCCCAGCTACTAACCAACCCACGCAGTCAGATATGGCATAGGGCTGAATTTAATGTGGAGTATCTGAGCCCATAGGCTCAACTAAAAATTCCCCATATAAAACGGGGTCAGGTAGCTGTTTCTCAAGACGAGACTCTGCCCTTTGACATAGCTTTGTCTGGGAATCCTCCCTGCTAGACTCTGTAGTCCATTGACTTACCAATACTTATAGATAGTTACTACCTATAGTGTAGTTACACATGGGGGTGACAGGTTATTCCTTTACATCAGAAATCAACAAGCGTTTTGAAGTAATTCCCATTACAGATATAGAATGCGAAAAAGATCACGGATTACTAGGAATTGATGTATTAAAAGTGGATACAGCAAGATTAATCAATTCCATGGAAGCAGAAGAAAATGAAATGAGATTACTGAAAGGCTATAAAGCAAGCATTTGACTAAAAGGAAATTATCACCCAAAATATATAGAGTCAAGAAAAGTTCCAGTTCATATACTACCTTTGGTGGTAGCCAAATTAAACAAAATAATACAAGGCATAC